AGCAAATTCAACACGCCAGCATCGTTTAAGTATATGTATAGCCTATACATCCTTAAGTTAAGGTAAAGGTTACCGTCCAGTAGCATATTTGGCGAAGGCATGAGATCAGAAAATAGACAGCCGGTGCCAGCCCTAATAAAAACAAGCAAGCCTGTATTATATCAGAGTCATACTGATAACGATTATGAGATGATGGTTTCGGTTTCAAAGAATGAGCTGTGAAACGGGTGCATAGAGTAAATATTTAGACCCGTGCCAAGTCGTGTAATCGTGTCGCTCGTTAGACAATTACGCAATTCCTACCTGCAATGACAATATTGGGCATTAACGTGCGCAAATATAGAGTGCAAAAGTTAATAGCGCACAGTTAATGGCGTTGTTGACTACCAAATTTCTCTGCACGGTCAGTTTTCAACTGAATTGGTATAATGTCCGTTAATTGTATACGTATCGCGAGTGGAAAGTGCCCAATGATAAAAATACTTGTCGGTTTCGTAAAAAGTTTCCTTGCACACGTGATGTCGTTTGATAATTCGAACAAACGAATTAATTCATGCCGGCTTCGCGGTGATAAGAGACTCTCTTGCGCTGCTCAGCTCGAACACTGGCAGGCATATTTAATTATTTTCTAGAGTTCAACAGTCGGTACTTTGTTCTGGGCGATAATGCAAAATCGATTAAACGTACCTATTCATGCTGTGTTTGTGTCAGGAAAACTTTGAACCATTCAATGTTTATTGCACGTTATCTATCGAAATTATCAACTGATTCCTCGTCAAACACGACGTTACTTAAAAAAATTATTTATGCCACACTTGGACAAATTATTTTGAAAATTATGTAAGCCCATTTTTTCTTGTTTCGAGATACGTGAGTGTTTGAATAGACAATGATATATGACCTTCCGTTTGATCAGAGCATATCAACATGTTGCCTGCGAATGAAATATTCGTTAAATTAATGTCTCAATTTCAGTTCACACCACAATTTCTACTCGACGTATTTTTCTACCGTTTTATATTTTATCTTAGAATTGTAAAAATATAAGCCAGTAAGCAGAAATTGGGACATTTACTTTTATGTTAAGCGCTCGATTTATTTGGCTTTCGTGGCAAGAGTCTTTTAAGGTTTTCGATTTTTCATCGAGATACGATTTCCTGTTATCGGCGAATCCATCGATCGGACGAAAGTTACGATATACCGGATGCGAGCTCTTGATTTACGACGCTTTATCGACGTCTGATCTAGCGTTTTTCCGCACAAACGGAAAATTTTTCACGAATTTCCCCGTTCAGTTGGTAATCCCGCGATTTCTCCGTTTGTTCACGAACGCGGAAGTCGAACACTGGTGATCCGATGCGTCTCCATCGACTATTCGAGTCGTGGACTCCCTTTAATCGCCTGGAATCAATTCGCAGTCGTCGGTGCCGGCGAAAAACGTGGGAGAACGAGCGACGTCTCCTTCCTCCACTTCAGAACACGTCATCTGTTTTTGTTATTGATTTCACGATGATACCGCGCGATTATCTCCAAGGCTAAGTTTATCTATATGATCTTTATGGATGATAGAACATCATAGGACACACGTTAAATCGTTAAAATCTTTTTAACGTAATTTTTTTTCCTTCTCACTTTCTCGATGCTATAAGTGAAGATAAGGTTTATAAAGAAAAGCTACAAGTACAAATTTTATTACTTACATTAATCTTGTAAAAAATTTTAAACAACTTTCAATAATTTTGATTTAATCGACAACTGCCTTAAGCATTTGACAAAAATATTAATGTCCAGTCTGGTAATTACATTTCTATTTCTTTCCACGAATAGTTTTCAGTTCTATAGAAATGTTGCCTGATTTGCAATATTCGACGTTGGAAACAATATACAGAATTTCGTACACATATTTTTAGGGGAGTTTGTAAAAAATTCTAAACAACTTTCAATTTAGGCTACGATTATTTTAAAAGTCGCATTATCAGCTCGTTATTCATTCTCCTAATCTCGACGCATGTTTAATGCACATCAACTAGCGTCAATGTTTGGAATAATCGTGTCCTGAAGCCGATGTCTTCAATCATTTAATTACGGTAACAAAAACCGACGACCTTGGTGGCGTGATTGCACAGCCGGTTTATTGTTAACTAAACATTAATTTTACTGCCGCCCCAAGTGTCGATGCCGATTCAACAATGGAACTCATTTCGTGAAATAAGTGTCGCAACACATTCACATTGTTTGTGTTATCTGCCGATTTCATTACGCGCTTTCGTTAAAACTGTCGCACCGTAAACAAGAACATTATTTTCTTCTTTATTTTCGATCCCGCTTCGTACGCGTTAATTCTGCTTATTAGCTGGTCGCATTATCACTTTACGATCGCCATTAAATAATGGAATCCCCGTTTCGTCATGCATCAACGATCTGTTACTTGCTTCTGAGCGCGAGATATGCCATCAGGAAAATAGAATTCGTTTTATCATATTTGCATCATACGCTGCCGGCCATAAAAATTATAATAGAAATTAATTTAACGTTTCATATTATGGTCGATTCAATAATTGATATAGTAATTAATTCAATGTTTCATGGAATATAATGTCTGACACACGATATACTACTTCGATTGTAAACTTTTTTTAACAGTGTTTGTAAAGCACAAGATTTTCGTAGAAATCAGCTTGTTCGGTCTTCGAGAGGATTTTCAATTCTTATCTCGAATTCGGGATATTATGCCTGAGTAAAGAAAGGAGTCTTTGGTCGGTTGACCGGGCCCTACTTTTTCCGCTGACGGGGAAAATTTACCGAGAAAATTAGGTCGATCCTGATATCCGTAGCCGCCTTCTCTTACGCTTCCTGAAAAATTGCGGCGTCCTCCACCGACGTCAGTAATCCTACTCGTTCCACCCAAAACGAATTCAACCGTATCCGTCGTTCAAATGGGTTACGATCATTAATTTTTTATACTCTCATCGATGATTCACCGGGACCCGTTATTCCCCACGTTTAGTGAATGAGAGCATACGTGTTACAAAATCGGAGCCTATCTCTTCTTCCCTGATGCATACACGTGCTTCTGGCCGTAAGAGGAAATATTTTTCTCCATTGAATCACATCAGAAAGATATCCTAGAATTCTTTAGAAATTTTATCGTTAACGATCTTTTCTCCTGTTTAATAACACAATTATTTTTAATGCTTGAAAAAGATATGATTGTTTATTGTTTAAATTCTTTTACTTTTGAAGTACATATTTGACTCCCATCATTGAGGTATAGGCACGCCAAATTGGTTTGCTAACTGTTCTTGAAACTGTTTCTTTTTCTTCTGAAACGAATCGTATCCATTCTGTATGTCTTGTTGTATCTCTTTTAGCGGGTTTGTTGTAGTCGGTGATGGAGTCGGCTGTGTATCCCTGCGTATATTATCTGCCTTAATGAAGTCCGCGGCTCTTTCCCCGATCATGGTGATCGTGGCAACGGGATTGCCCGATATTACCTGCAAAGTCGTCAATTACGTTACAACGCTGGCCCGGTTTTTTTTAGAATTGAATAGGCTTATAAAACCTTAACGCAAGGGAAAAAAGAATGATACGTACTATAGGCATGACGGATGCATCAGCTACTCTCAATCGCTTGACACCGTGCACTCTCAATTTTGTGTCAACTACTGCCATCGGATCTGAAGCTAGACCCATTCTCGCGGTACCGGCTTGATGATTCTCCGGTTTCGTGTTCCACTGTACAGCACATTTCCAAAACTCGTCGCTGTCATACGTGAGATTGGCGCACGCTGGTATGGACACATTTTCAAGCGTCGGGTCGTGATTTCTCATCGTCGTTGTGTTCATCAGTTTCTCGATGTAACGAATCCCTTGAATGACGAGGTTAATGTCTTCATCGGTTCCCAAATCGTTACTCCAGATGTACGGTAGATCCAATGGATTGTTGCTGTTCAACGTGATCCGGCCTATGAATTTATTTATTTATTTTATTTATTTTTTAATATCCGACTAAACGAATATATAATTTTATGTATAATACAATGTGATTCTCTGTATTATTAAAAATTCCCATAAATGACATGAAATTCCCATGAACATCCGGAGTCTAGTTGTGAGGCTTGAAATTTTGTCAAATTTCATGTTTTGTAAAATGATTAATAGATGAATTTTTAATAAATAAATGCCAATTCACCTCTGCTCTTCGGTCTAATATTCACTGACGCGAAGGTGACGACCGTCTCGTTGGCGTTGCTTGTCGCTCGACACGAGGCTCGGTAACCGGCACAGAATATCTGAATGTCCGGGTCGTCCGACGTACTAAAATTAGACACCAGTTTCGCGGTGACCTGAGACAAACCCGTGCTGGAGAGCGGCCCGGTTTGATTGAACAGATACAATGCCGCGTTGTTACCGGTGAACTGAGCAGTCGACGTCTCGTTCAACGTGTAAGCTAGCATATATGAGTGATGATTATGAAGGTTTTCCCCGACGCCTGGTAGATCCACAGCCACACGGATGTTCTTTGATCCCAGGTGTTCTTTAGGGCCGATTCCTGACAGCATTAACAACTGCGGCGTGTTTATCGCGCCGGCTGATAAAATTACTTCACGTTTCGCGCGTACTTTATACGTCTTCCCATTCTGTAGATTAAATGAGAAGGAATGAATATGAAATCGCGAAGAAGCGAGGTTTTTGTAGCGAACAGCGCGATAAGCTCTGTGCTACACTGGCAAATTCTTTAAATTTCATTATATCTCCTCGTACCATCAACATTTCGATGCCTTCGGCACGGTTGTTAACCAGCGTGACTTTCGTCGCCAAAGCGTTCGTAGCCACGTGGAGGTTCTTACGATGCGCCACCGGTCTAATAAATGCCCCAGCAGTCGTCAGTCTCACACCGTCCCGGCTGATAGTCTGAGTCACTGCGAAACCAGTGAGGTTCGCCCCTGTCAGATCGTCGCTGATGCCGAGACCCGCTTCCTCCGACGCTTTCAGGATTTCCCAAGCAAAGCCGGGCTGATAAGGGAATCTAATCGACAGGCCATAGTCATTTTTATAAAAATAATTTCCTGTCCTTTACATTAACAGTTTGACTGCCACGCGAATTTTTAAGGAAGTCACCGGTGACTGACGCGGCCTAAATGAAAAGTTCAGTTATATATTACATGACCAATATGGCAGTCAAAGTATGTAAACGACTGGAAATTATTTTTATAAAAATAACTATGGCCTATCGGAATAATGATACGTAATCTAAATATGTAGTGTATGCATAGAAATAATGAGCAATTAATAGCTATAATTATTTTTCCACTAATTTAGTGACTCGACTAATTTTTAAGAGTAATTTTATGTAACTATTGAACAGACCTTTGAACAGTCATTGGTCCACCGGTAGTATGATATTTCGAACTCACAAGTGTTCCTATTTCCGTATTGTTCTCCGATTTAAAAAAGTATGGGAGGACCTAAAAAACAAAGTTAGTTAGAATTTTTGAAAGCGAGACAACAGTAGATAATACGCACGTCATCCCAGCTCCAGCCTTCAATGCCAAATTCAGCCCATCTTTGATAATCTTTGGGTTGTCCGCGTTGATAAGCCATGCCATGGTGAAGCGTTGTACCTCCGAGATTCTTACCTCGAGGCCAATAACAGCTTCCGTTTGTGCTTAGGCAGGCGAACGATTCGTTCGACGTTTTATATTTCCAATCCAATGGACCGCCTACGCACGCCGCAATAAATCATTTTTTACTAATTAAACATTCTTTATAATGAATTAAATTCCTTATTCGAGATCTGCATTAGATTTTTAAATCGTGGACTCTTATTTTAACAAATCGATGCACAACGTGCTTATCTAAAATTTACTGCCTTCAAGTACTGAAGATATTTTATGCTAAATTAAATTCCTAGTTTGAGATCTACACTAGATTTTTAAATAGTGATTTATCTTCTGATAGAAAGATCATAACGATGCTTAGTTAAAATTAAATATTGTCTTTAAATGCTAAAGGATATGATTTAAGTTAACAATTTGGGATCTTTAAACGATCTGCCATGCAATGTTTCTCAATTGGTTATATTTTACCAGTATGCCAACGATTTTTATGTTTCGATCGTTTCTGTGATAGAATAAAATTGATTACCGAGGTAAAGGGCAGCATTGCCAGGTACTTCGGCTCCAGCCGGTTCATCCGGACCCGCTTCGACTAGTAGGACATTCCAATCCTCCACTTCGCTCAATCTCCCGGCAACCGCGGCACCAGCGGCACCAGCTGCATAAATATAAGAACATACAGTGGTTTCAAAGCGGATATACAATTTCATGATTACAAATTGGCCTGTAGCTATTAAAAAAGCGGATTCTTATGCAAACTGGTTTATGATATTAATTCAAAGAATAGAAATTATTCTTATCATCCAAGGGATTTCATAAATTTTAATGATCTTTCATTAAATGTACTTTCTTCGTTAATTCATTAGTTACATTCTGTACAACTAATTTTTTTATAAGTGCCTGAAACGTGATTGCTTACCGCCAACGACGATAAAATCGTAACTGGATCTCGGGCTGGTGATAGGATCGACGCGTCCGCACGGGTCGCCAATTCGCGGGTTCGAGACTAGGAGGTTGTTGAGCAGCGTTAGAAACAAAACTCCTGTACTTGCCGAACAAACATCGGTGAGCTGCGGCCCGCCCTCGAAAGGATGAAGGCACTGCAGAGATTGGCAACCTAAAGCATACATTATCGAATCACGGTTAACGCAATTCCCTTGTAGTTCGCCCGGAGAGAGACTTCATTAAATTGTCAGATTTACCGCGGCGTACTTTACGCCACAATCTTCTGGGTTTCGAAACTGTTTTAACACTCTTGTAGACATTTCTGGTTTAAGGTATTGTATGAGCTCTTAAAGAGGACTTTATATAATTATTAATACACGTTTTAAGAATATTTAAAAATTGATATAATATCAATTTCAAGGATATTATTTAAGATAGACAATAAAAATTAAGCAAAAGCAAAGATCGTAAAATCTGTAAACAGTTGCGAGTCAAGTACTGTCTAAAACTACCAAAACCATGTACTAAGATATCATAAATCATACATTAAACATTCCCTGTGACTTAAGAAGACACGCCGAAAAATTGTATGAACCTGGCTTCTCTGTAGATATTATTTTTTCTAAAAGTTTCTCGATTCAAATATTGAACACAGTTTTTTATCACACTTTTTAAACTTTTGGCAGAGATCTTATGGCTCATACAAGCTTCAGAACAATCATGGAGCCCTAGAATTAATCACACTTATTTACTTTGAATTAAAACGTAATTAATAACCAAGATGGATAATAATTAAAATGCTTAACATGTAAAATACGAGACAAAACGTACCATTCATGTTGCCGACGTTAAAAGAACTACTTATATTACCGTTACTGCGCTTTTCATGCTCAGTATTGTATGCAACAGTATATATACAACGTGCACTAAAGTGATAAATATTCAGTTTTGTAAACAATATAATTAATGTCGTAAGCTATCAGCAGGTTCTGTCCTTGTCAGCGATAGAAATGATAAATCATTTTTACTACAATTTTTATCATTCTTTGTTTCTAACAGTCTAATTGATGATCTTTCTCCTCTTCTATTTAGACGTACAGTACCTACCATTTAAAAATTTTTCAAATGTCCTAACGTTGTTACTTGGAAAATAATTGTCTATAAAAAAAACTGTTACATATTTGGATTAATTTATTCATGGAATTCGAGATATTCAGTAGTCTTTTATTTGCACTAAATTACTTTTGATCTAACAAAGAATTAAATCTTTAACTAAAAAAACTTGACAGTTTGCAAACTTTTGAATGGCAATGTAAATCTTTTATAAATGAACGAGTTGTTTCAGTTATTTACCATTTGCTGATTATCAATCAAAGATAGTTTCAGACACTTTGGTTATCGACCAAGATTAAATAAAGAATTTTACATTCCTGGAAAGTGAATTACAAATTTTGTTGTTTATTTAACAGGAAAAAATTATTTAAAAGTATAAATTCATTATTTTATTTCTATTTCGTATTTGTCTTTTATCTTGAAACCGTGTTTAACGGTCGATCTATGACGTTTCTAAGTACGCGTATAATTAAAATGTTAATCGTCCCGGGACGTCCTTGTCAATCATAAACAACTTCGCGAACAATGTATAATAGTTCATTAACAGTTCAATACGCCGACGCCATGAGTCGAAAAGCGATGCAGCGTTTAATTAAAACTCACTGTCGGTGCTCGATTCCCTACTTGTGCCGCAAATTCGCCTCGAAGTTCCTCGAGCGAAGTGGGTTTCATCGCTCAACAGGCCTCCGCTGGCATAACAACGTATAATATTTTTAGAAAATGCTCGGAGTTGGCATAAAATTTAGGATTATGAGTTCGGATTAAATCTGCTTCTGATTCTAAAATATTCTGCTTAGTTGTGAATTCTTAACCAGTTGTCTGTTGCGACCTCTTTCAAAAATGTATATCTAAATTACGTAAAGAAAGAAATTCATACTGTACACAGTTTTTTCATAATAATTATTTATATATTTTTATTTCTTCCTTTTATTTCTTCTTGGCCTCCAAATATTTCAAACATCTTAAAGTTTACGTGTACATTGAAATAGCAAATTGTAACTATACTTTTATGCATGACGAATATACTCGTCACAGCATAAAATATTGCTATTTCTTCATGACGAGTATACTCGTCACAACATAAAGTAATGCAATTTCACAAAATTTGAAAAATTTCAGAGTGTGATGATAATTACAGTGATCGCTACGTGTTGAGTAGAACGAGTAATGAATAGACTGTGAATTTGTATAAAAAAATCTCTTCTCATTAAATGAAATTTAAATCGAGATTTATTTCATATTTCCTGTATATCCAATTTTGTTTCATACATAAAATCCGAGGTCTAACGATGAGATTTACTTTTAATTATCGCAAATATATGAGCCTCGTAGCGAAACGAGGATTGCATATTATTAAAACTGTGATGATTTCTCACTGAAACCATGAACGTGACGTGAAACCATACATCAGTAGCTCTAAAGTAAAACGCGTATTACGAGGTGTTACATGCAAAGCGCCAGCCTTGGGGTCCTCGTTATTAATTACTTATAAGGAACGTTGGGTTGCAAAGTCTTACAAGAACACAAGATAACAACAAGCGAGTTGACAATGCTAAAAATAAGATGAAACGAAGACGAAACGTAGACAAGTTGCACATATGTTTATACATAAAGCGTATATACGAAGTTGTATCAAATAAGAACAAGTGCGAATGCTGGGAAGCAGATGAGCGCAGAGATAATTTGCAGCCGTCGTTGATGACTGTTCGCTCAATTCGCGACCGTTTATTGGCATCGCGCAGAAACGTCGAACCAGGCGTCACTCAATTCCCTCGGACGCGAGTGAGTGTCGAAAGTATACACGCGCGACGCAGCGCCGGCGTTTGCCAGCGCTGAAAAGAAGAATGAAGTTCCGTTCCAACTTGAACCGCGTTTCGCAAGTTTGTTGCATAATTGTTGCACTTTAAATAGTCAAACTCGTTTAGGAATCGTTTGAATAGTAGACTCTTACAAGCTATAGGACAAGAAGTCTTGAGAGGTTCTTTATCTGTTTCGCAACGGAGGAGTTGGGAAACGAAATGATAAAAGTTGAACCGGTGATCCGCGGCTGTAAATTCCTTTGCAAGATGAATGTTGCGCGTGGGAAAGGATCGATCTGGAAAAATTGTGCTCGAAAGGCGCGGATGGGCGGCTGATCAAGCGTCGTTAAACTGAGGACGCACGCGCCGGTGACGTCTAAAGTTTAACGAAGAAAAGCGCAATTCCTTACGTCTAGCCGTAGCGACCACGGCGTCCACGCTCGTTGAATTACAAATCGCGGACGAACTCCGCGCGATGCATCGAAACAGAAATCGAAGATCTTCTGCCGTGCAGACAAAGAGTTTATCTTGTCCGGGAAAACTTGTCGCGTTTACGTTTGAATTCAAACCTGGCGTCGTCATATCGAGATGTACGATGTCGAACATCGATCAATACTTAGTTATTCAGAGTTGGCTGCTGCCTCTTTCTCGAGCAGATAAATGATTAAATTTTTAATTCAATTGAAAAAAGTGAAGAATTTTAATTAGCTTAACTGAAAGAAATTCGAACTTTAATCCTTAACAATAAGTCTTCAGTTTTTGTATTAGTTTCAATAATTTACTATATTCATAATTTTTATACTTAAGTGCAATTTTGTCTTGGCTGACTGATTATGGTAACACATGCAACCATTTTTATTTTCTTTTTATTTTTTGTAAAACAAATTAAGAAACGTCATTTGGTACGTTTAGCATAAATTAAAGATTACTCCGTCGATTACAATTTAAAGAAAGTATAATCATCAATAGTTAGTGAGGCAATTAACATGTTTACAATCCAAGTTAAACATAGAGCATAAGTCTCTTTCGGACTAAATAATTTCAACAATAATTATATATATGAAGAAGGAAGAATGAAATATGCAGCGGTACGTAGATGATAAACACATTTCGCATAAATATTCATGATCCAGCTTGATTCGTTCTCCGAAGCGTACATTCGTTTCTAAGAAAAAAATAGCGCAGGTGCGCGATCCTTAAAGAAATTTACAATCCAAGTTAAACATAGAGCATAAGTCTCTTTTTCGGACTAAATAATTTCAACAATAATTATATATATGAAGAAGGAAGAATGAAATATGCAGCGGTACGTAGATGATAAACACATTTCGCATAAATATTCATGATCCAGCTTGATTCGTTCTCCGAAGCGTACATTCGTTTCTAAGAAAAAAATAGCGCAGGTGCGCGATCCTTAAAGAAGCCAGGCTCGTCCCATATGAAATAACAGGCTGCGCGAACCCTGAGAAAGTAACTGAAGCGCGTTCCTCGCGAAGGGCGTGCATCCTCGGCCCGAGAAAGTGACGTTCACTCGCGCGTGCACGCTAGAAAGTGCACGCATGTCGAATGCGAGTAAATCTTACTTAAACACCTTATCGTGAACACTTATGTCAATTCAATTTTATATCTAATTTCATTGTCTGATAAAACTATTTATTTTGAATAATGGATCATGGCGCGAAGACTTCGATCGGAGTCTATAATACATTTAATGACTATTAAAATTTCAATGCTCTGTCGACGTTTTTATGTGAAAGTTCATAGAATCTTAAATGAATCGCGCTTTGAATCTTATCACGTTAATCTCCTGGCAGACTATTACGTTCGCATCGCTTGACACTAAACGCGCACACAGTTTAGGAACTGTTGAACGGTGAGAGGAAGACTGTCTGATTAATAGGCTCTGTCTTTCTAATTTATGCCCTGGCATAAGAGACTTTATTTTTTGGCTAGGTGCTAACTTGTATTCGTTCATGATGGAAACGAGAAGAAAACCTTGCTTTCATAATCCCTTCGCAACCTTTCCCAATCGTGTGCCAACCGTTCCTCAAACGCTCTTACAATACCTTGCCTGTGCGAAATCGCGGATTTGTCTCGCGGCTTTGCGTAATCTTTAATGAAACCGAACTACAACACAGTTGCAACTCGACTCTCTACCGAGGAATCTGTCTTCTAACGATCGAAGAAAGCCCCTTGCTAATTAACAATCTGCTCTCAAACCGTGCATACGACTTGGTAAAAATTCCTCACGAGCTATCCTTCGGTGCATACCGATGGAATCGCATGCCAATCCCGGTCTCCCGTATTCTGACACTCTGCGAGGGTGATTGCAATTTGTCCCACGCGTCGGGAATTAACATTCTTGACTCAAGGCGCACCGATCGCCAGTAACAATTGACGTGAAAGCACGGACCGAGGCTCGTCACGGTCTGATTCGTGCGCGGGTCGTGTCCCGCGATCCTCATGATTTTTCTCGATTATTAGCGGCATCGGAACGATAAGCTCCGCGCATATCTCTTCGTATCCCTTTCTCTTTACGGGGAGATGCAGAAACCCGCTGGAAAGATAAAAGCTCCCGCGATGGAATGTTGGCCGAACCGGATGAGAGAAGAGAGGAGCGTGTGTGTGCGCGCGCGTGTGAGTACTGGAACGAGAGAGGCTGGTTCGGCCGAACAAAGAACAGGATTTCAAGTGTCTTGAGCGTGGGCTCGAGCTAGCTGCTGGAGACGCTTGGCTTTTCTTCTCCGCTCGTGCCACCGTCTACCTTAACCCTCTCGCAGTTTAATAAGCGGCTGGCTAAGCTGTCGAACATACCGCTGGCAATTTCATACCTTGGCTTATTGTAATATATCGGCCGTCTTTCATCCCGGGGATTCCAAATGCGAAACCTGTTGCCATAGAGAAAATTCATATGTTTTTTATACTTCCTACTTCTTACTTTATTTAAGGAACTAAATAAGATAGTCGCGTGACTTTTTAACATTTGCTGCTAAAATTTTCTCGTTTTTTTTTTTGCTTTT